CACCACCACCACCACCACCACCACCACCACCACCACCACCACCACCACCACCACCCGGCCTTGTTTTTGTTTTTATGTCCAGGCCGCAGTTTCCCCTCCCTTTTTCCCTCCCCTACCCACTCCTGGGTTTCTCTTCAGAAAAGGGCAGGCCAGCCATGGTATATCAAGTTGCAGTGAGACTAGGCACCTCCTCTCCTGTTGAGGCTGGATGAGGCAACCCAGGAGGAGGAAAGGGTCCTAGAAGGAGGTAACAGAGTCACAGACAGCCCCCTGCTCCCACTGTTAGGAGTCCCACAAGAAGACCACGTTACACAACTGTAACATATATGTAGAGGGCTATGCAGGCTCCCTGGTTGGCGGTTCAGTCTCTGTGAGCCCCTGTGAGCCCAGGTTAGTTGATTCTCAGGTTTTCTTGTGTCCTTGATCCCTCTGGCCCCTACAATCCTTCCTCCTAGGGCAGGGATTTATGTTCATTGGTATGGAGGTCTCAGGCAGACTCTAGACTGGGGTTACATGTACAGGCTGTCTCATTAGTTACTTGTTTATTAAGTTGTCCTATGGGTCATGGGAACACATGTCTTTAAGTAGGTAACTCTTAAAGTGAGGTCCAGGCCAGCCAGGACAATATAGAGAGACCCTGTCTTTAAAACAAAACAAAACATGCTGGGCAATGGTGGCACACGACTGACTTTATTTCCATCTTTTGGGAGGTAGAGACAGTCGGATCACTGTGAGTTTGAGGCCGGCCTGTCTGCAAAGTGAGTTCCAGGACAGCCTGGACTGTTACACAGAGAAACCTTGTCTCAAAAAAACAAAAATAACCAAAACATGCCAGGTGGTGGTGGCACACACCTTCAATCCCAGCACAGTGAGGCAGAGGCAGGCTATATAATATTGTTTTATGTTTAACCTAACAGAATTAAAACAAACTTCAAGAAGCAAGCTTTTAGAAATACAAACTGAGAAGAGCAAACAGAAAGAGGAGTTGGACAACATGGAAAATTCGGAAATGATAAAGACCATGCAAAAGAAGCTACAGACGGAGATAAAGATTACCACAGTTATTCAACATGTGTTCCAGGTAATATTCATATAAATTATGAACAGAGGTAGCTGGACATGGGACACACACCTATAATCTGAACACTTGGGAGAGTTTAAAGCAGGAGGATCAGGAATTCAAGGCCATGACTCAAAAAAAAAACAGAAATGGGCTGGAGAGTTGGTTCATTAGATAGGAACACAGGCTGCTCCTCCAAAGGACTCAGGTTCAGTTCATAACTATGTGTAACTCTAGTCCCAGGGATCTGATCTCCTCTTCTGGCCTCCAGGCAATAGCCCTGATGAGCAGATAGGCATGTAGATTAAAAAAAAAAAAATCCATACATATAGAAACAAAAGGGGTTTTTGTTGTTGTTGTTTGTTGGTTTTTTGAGACAAGGTTTCTCTGTGTATCAGAAGCTGTCCTGAAACTCGATCTGTAGACCAGGTTGGCCTCAAATTCACAGAGATAAGCCGGGCGTTGGTGGCGCACGCCTTTAATCCCAGCACTCGGGAGGCAGAGCCAGGCGGATCTCTGTGAGTTCGAGGCCAGCCTGGGCTACCAAGTGAG